TCAAATGTCTGTCAATGACTAGTTGAATAAAGGGTGGATACGTGCATGTAGTAGAATACTCTGAAGCTGTAAAAGGTAATGAAATAGACCTGCACACGCTGATGTGGAGTGATCTCCAGGATATATTAAGGGGAAAAAGTAACATGTGGCACTATATATATATATAGTGCCACCTCTTGTGTAAAAAAGAAGAAACAGGTGCAGATATACATACATGCTTGCTTATATTTGCAAAAAGAAACACTGGGAAAATACATCAAAAACTAATAAAAAATTGGGGAGGATTGGCAGAAACATAGTTGGAAGCAAGATTTCTTTTAATATACCTTACATAAGTTTGACTTTGGAAATATGTAAATATTTCGTATATTCAAAAATGATATTAAAAAAGTAATTCCTAAAAATTTAAAATTAAAAGAATTAACTATAGGGCTGGCCCGGTGGCGCACTGGAGAGTGCGCCACTTGGGAGCGTGGCAGCGCTCCCGCCGTGGGTTTGGATCCCATGTGGAGACCGGTTCCCGCTCACTGGCTGAGTGCGGTGCGGGCGCAACACCAAGGGTTGCGGTCCCATTGCCGGTCCCTGGTGCGGGCGCGACACCGAGGGTTGCGATCCCGTTACCGGTCAGTAAAAAAGACAAAAAGGAAAAAAAAAAAGAATTAACTATAAATCAATTTGATGCATAAGCTCTTAAAGAAAATAATTATTTCAAGTGACTTTAGACTACAGTAATAGAAGAATATATTCTAAAGACAAAAAAGCTACAGAGAAATTTTAAACTCTTTTGGTAGTCTAATTATTAACCACAATATTCATTTTATTATTTTAAAATTATTTTATGTATTGTAGACTAATGCTAATGAGTAGTTATACTAATGTCAGGAACCAAGATTTTCAGTGTAAGAAAAAAGATGTAAAGGATAAATTTTAGAATGTTAAGTAAACATCTTGGTAAATAGAAAGAGTTTGTGTAGTAAATCCTAACTTCTTTTTTACTTTTTTCTTTTTGTTTTTGGAAAGAGACCCTCCACCTGGGGAGGGTGCCAAGCTGAAGGGTCCATAGTACCCTGAGTTTCTTTCTTTTCATGGGGCTCTCTTATACAAAGTATTAGCTACAAGCAAAAGAAATAAACTCTGGCTGACTTGAGGGGAAAAATGACTTGTTAGGAAAAATAACTTGTTAGGAGTACAACTCCAACCAAAAAACTTAAGTTTACTTTGCTGTGCAGAATCTTTTCAGTTTGACATAATCCCATTTGTCTATTTTTGCTTTCGTTGCCTGTGCTTTTGAGGTCTTATTTTAAAAAATCCTTTCCCAGACAGACCAACATCATGAAAAATTTCCTTTATGTTTTATTCTAGTAGTTTCATAGTTTCAAGCCTTACGTTTAAGTCTTTAATCCATTTTGAGTTGATTTTTGTAAGTGGTGAGAGACAGGGGTCTAGTTTCATCCTTCTGCGTGTGGATTTCCAGTTTTCCCAGCACCACTTACTGAAGAGACTGTCCTATCCCCAGTGCGCGTTCTTGGTGTCTTTGTTGAAAATCAGTAGGCTGCAAATGCATGGATTTATTTCTGGGTTCTCTATTCTGTTCCATGGGTGTGTGTCTGTTTATGAATGGATAAAGAAAACGTGTTATATTCACACAATGAAATACTGTTCAGCCATAAGAGAGGGTAAAATTCTGTCATTTTCAGTACCATAGATAAGCCTGGAGGACATTATGTTAAGTGAAATAAACCAGGCATGGAAAGACAAGTACTGTGTGATCTCACTCAATGCAGAATTTTAAAAAGTTGATCTCAGGGCTAGCAGGTTAGCTGTGTTGGTTAGAATGGGGTGTTGATAACACCACGGTCAAGGGTTCAGATTCCTGTACTGGCCAGCAGCCAAAAAAATTAAAAAGTTTATCTCATAGAAGTAGGGAATAAAATAGCCATTACCAGAGGCTGGGAAGGGAGGAGGAGAGGGTGGAGAGTGGGTGATCGATGGGTACACAGTTACAGTTAGAGAGTAAGTTCTAGTGCTCCATTACACAGTAGGGTGACTATAGTTAATGATAATATATTGTATATTTCAAAATAGTGAGAAGAGAGGATTTTGAATGTTCTCACCACAAAGAAATGATAAATGTTGAAGTGATATATATGCTAATTACCCTAATTTTATCATTACACATCGTATACATGTATCAAAACATCACATTGTACCCTCTAAACACATACAATTATTACGTGTCAACTAAAAACAAAATAAAACTTTAAACAAACTTGCTAGGTATATAACCCCTAACAAGAAATTTGTTAGGAGAGTATAGTCACAAAATCAAAGGAAGTGCTAAACAGTCACGCTTTGGGGAGGGCCCTTTGAGCAGGACAGTTTGGGTGCTGTTTCAGTTATCTATTGTAGCACAACTAACCACAAAATTTAGTGGTTCAAAACAACAGCAATGTACTATCTCTCACTATTTTGGGGGTGGATTGACTGGAGGCTTTTCTGCTGGTTTCTCCTGGACTCATTCAACTTTTAGCTTGTGGATAGACTGGGGGCTGGGAAAGCTATGAAGCCTGGCCTTCCCCTCCACGTGGTCTTTTATCTCCAAGGAGGCTAAACTGGGCTTCCCTGCATCACACGGTGATGGGAGGTTTTCCAAGAGGGGGACAGTGGAGCTGCAAGGCCTGGGGGGGCAGCTGCACAACATCACTTCTGCCATATTCTGCAGGTCAAAGACCATCACGAGGACTTCCAGATTCAAGGGTTCGGACTCCACCGTTTACTGGAAAAGGCCACCAATAATCTGTGTCTGTTTTTAATCTGCCAGAGTCATCATCTGGCCACAATTATTTGCAGCTCCTCTCATCGACAAGTGACCCCTTGAATTTGGACTTGCCTTGCAAAATGTTTTCAGTGACAGAATGCTGGGGACGACATAGGCTGCAGCATCCGAGAAAGGTCTAGGCAGAAAGGAACACTGCCTTTGCCGAGTGATGAGCCTGGTCTAGACTCCAGAAGGAAGCAACACCATGTGCAAAGCAAGCCATGCCAGGCTCCCCACTGAGCACAGTTCCCAGTCAACGCACCACCTGAATACGTGTGGGCTCTTAGTATACTCTTCTAACAAATTTCCTGTTAGGAGTTATATCCCTAGCAAGTTTGTTTAAAGTTTTATTTTATTTTTAGTTGACACGTAATAATGGTGTGGGCCACATGAGTGAGCCCACACGGGACCAGACAAAGAACTGCCTGGCCAACTCCCAGAATCACACGAAATAATAAATTATTGCTCTGAACCACTCCTTGGCCATAGAGAACTGCCTCAGGGGCTCTCAGCATCGGGAGTTGTGCAGTCTTTCTGCGTTATTACTAACATGACTGCTTTAAAGTCTGGCGTCCAGCTCTCTTGACTCCACGATTGTCAAGTTTGAGTCAAGAGACAACTTCTGAAATCAACCAGTTCTGGCAGAGAGGTGAGGGGCCAAGTCACTAGCACAGACAGGGGTCCTAGGAGCCACTCAAGTTAATATTTCCCATCACCTCCACACTGGGTCCCAAGGATTTGCTATTTCTGCCTTTAACCTTCAAAACCACAGCCCATTCCCACATCCTCTGCAGTGCTTGTGGCCTTTCATGTTTTTGATCCTAGCCATTCTGGCAGGTATGAAGTGATACCTCACAGTGGTTTTAGTTTGTATTGCCCTAATGATTGGTGATGTTGAGCATTTTTTTACTGTATCTGTTGGTTATTTGCATGTCTTCTTTTGGGAAATGTCTATTAAGGTCCTTTACTCATTTTTTAATCCAGAACCCTGTGCACTGTTGGTAAATTAGCACAGCCATTATGGGAAACTATATGGAGGTTCCTCAAAAAACTAAGAATAGAATTACCGTATGATCCAGCAATCCTCTTCTGGGTATATATCCTAAGGACTTGAAATCAGTACATTGAAGAGGTACCTGCATTCTCATTATTTACAATAGCCAAGACATGGAATCAACCCAAGTGTCCATCAATGGATGAATGGATAAAGAAAATGTGTTATACATACACAGTAGAATAGTATTCAGCCTTTAAAAAAAAAGAGAAATTCCATCATTTGCAACATCATGGATGAACCTGGAAGACATTATGGTAAATGAGATGAACCAGGCACAGAAAGACAAAAATCACATATTTTCACATAAGTATGGAATCTAAAACAATTGAACTCAGAGAAGAGAGTAGAATTGTGGTTGCCAGAAGCTGGTGGGTGGGGGGAATGGGGAGGTGTTGGTCAAAGTGTACAAAGTTGCAGTTAGGAAAGATAAATGATAAGGATTTAAGGTGATGGATAGGTTAACTAGCTTGATTCAATCATTTCACACTGTATACATATATCAAAACATAACTGTGTATCCCATAATTATGTACAATTATAATTTGTCAAAAAATAATTAATTGATTGATTAATTAGTAATAACTGAGGCCCAGTAGGATGTTTCTCCTTCCTTGCTTCCTTTTGACACAGCTAAAAGTTGCTGAAACTGGGAATGTGGGGGTGAGGGAAGAGTTTTCCAAAAATCTTAAAAGGAATAAAAGAATCCTAAACAAAGAAAAAGAAAAAACATAAAAGTTAAATAACAGGTTCCTAAGTTGTGCTGGCTAGACAGCGATGACAGACATGATGAATTTTTCCAGCTTTACCCCCTTATATGCTGAAGGTAATTTTTGTCCCCGTTGCAGGTCCAACTGCATATCAGTGTCTTGACGCACAATACACGTGTCTACAGAACATAGTCTGTTCTGAGAACTCCCCACTTACAAATTCCACTAGGGTAAGTTTTATATGGGAAGCAATACTGCACAGTGTTTAATATTATGAATTAAAGAATCAGACAAGTCTCCTCATCTGTAAAATGGGCTTATGATGAGAATTAAATGAAAGAGAGCATGTATAGTGTTTACCACAATTGGCACATAGTAAGTTCTAGATAAATGTTTATTAATAAAAAACTGATGAGCTGGCTGGTTGGTTCAGTTGGTGAGAGTGTGGTGCTGATAACACCAAGATCCAGGCTCGATCCCTGGACTGGCCAGCCGCCAAAATAATAATAATGATAATAATAATAATAATAATAATAAACCGAGAACAGCTTTGAGCACAAAACATGGCTCATGCATCTTTGTATTCTCAGAATCTATCACACTGTCTAGCACCTATTAGGAGTTCACTAAATATTCACTGAATGAGCCACTGTGTCTGAAGGTCAGGGAGCATGAGGTCATCCAGCAATAAAGTCATTTGCCCAAGGTCATCAGGCCTCATGGCCACTTCCAGGCAGAACTCATGTATCACTATGGTGTGGGGTTCCCTTTAAGTCTCTGGCTTCCTAAGTGTTTAGATGGTACCTGACTGAGCATAAGTCTTGGGGAGAAAGATTCAATCAAAGTTCCAAGTCTGATTCTATTCCAGCCAGAGTCGAGTGAGTGTCTGTCTCTCCTTTTCCCTGGGCCTGTCACAATCTCAACAAATAGGCTTTTAAATTAAGTAGTGATTTGGAATGTAAGTGAGTACATTTAAGATGATAAGAGACAGAGAGATCCTAATGGCTGAAATATTTGTCATATCACAAGTAAACGGAGTGTTTCGGGTAGTCACTAATATAACTAATTTTTTCCAAATCCTCCTCTGCTCTGTGTGAGAAGATGAGGTCAGCACAGGTTGAGCCAGCCTGGAGCGAGCAGCTGGCGGGGGACTGAAGAGAATACTGATGGGTGGCTGAGGCCTGGACTGTTTGCCTCAGCAAACCAGAGCCCGATTGTTCAAATTAAGCTGTGGCTGCCCAACGACCAGCGGCAGGTTGCTGCCAATGAGAAGGTAGAGAAACGAATGTACAGCCCAGACTGCCTCCCCCAGAGAGCAGAGATGAGCTGTGGTTTGGGCTTGGCCCCTGTGTTGGGGGTGTCTGAAAGGAAGTTGGAAGAAATCTAAAGCAACTCCCTCCTCCCCACCGCAGCCGCTTTCCCTCTTCTGGAATCGGTCTGGAATCTCCTCTGCAGCAAACCCAAATCATGTTAGTCAAACCTTTTCTTGAATGCTCCCAGAACCTGGGATCTCACTACCTCCAAAGCAGACCATTTCAATTAGCATGGCAGAACCCAAAAGTGTCTTCTACTGCAGCTGTATGAACATTCTGCTTGTGTTAGCTGTGAACTGAAAGCTGTAAAATATGTGAACATTCAGTGTCAATGGACAGCCCTGCTCAGTTGGGTTTGGAGCATTGAATATTTAGACTTACAGCCAAAAACCTGAGCTCAAGTCTTGATCTCACCACCAAATTTGCTGTTCAATATGTGGGGACAATATCTTGCTGACACTCTTGGTTTGTAAAAATGGGAATGATGTCTGCCCCATGGCCTTTCACAATGGCGGGAGTTGGTGGAGAGGAGGAAATGGTCATTGCACCCAAACCTCACATTAATGAAGGGTGTCAAATTTAAATTTTGACATTAACTCAAAATAAATATGCATTCGGCCACAGAGAGAAACTGGTAAGATTGAAAGGAGATGTTTGTCATTCGATCTGAAGTGAATGTGCCATTTTTGGACCACATCTTCTGCAGTAGACTTTAAAGGAATTTTTAAAGTAAATTTTGCTCAGGACAAGTATATGACACTGCATTTTTAAAAGCATTCATTCATTAAATGCAAAATTTAAAATATATTACAATTTTTATAATCTTGATTTGGCATTTCTTAATATCTTAAGAGCTTAAAAACAAATGAAAATGGTCTAGACCTCTCTCTAAGAGGCTCCGTCCTGCCCGTTTGTAAGATTATTGTTGCAATCAAATAAGATTAAGAATGTAAAATTTGTTATGAAAAGGTTTTATATATTACATGAGGTATGTAGAGTAGTCAAACTCATAGAAACAGAAAGTAGAATGGCAGTTGCAGAGGACTGAGGGGACTGAGAAATTGGGACGTGTTTAATGGGTATAGAGTTTCAGTGCTGCAAGATGAAAAAGGTCTGCAGATAGGTTGCACAACAATGTAAATAAATTTAACACTGCTGAACAGTACTCTTAAAAATGGTTAAGATCGTAAATTTTACGTTACATGTGTTTTGCCACAATTAAAAACATTTTTAATCTTTTAAAAATGTTTTTAAAAGGTTTTGTATAAATATTAGGTGTTGCTGCTACTATTCATGCTACTAATAGTAATTACATATGCAGTCTTTCTTTAAATAGATATTGAGTATCCTCTATGTGCCAGATGCTGTGTGTGCAAGGCCTTAGAGAGCTTATAGGTGCTGAATAAATATAATATAATATGAAACATAGAATTTCTTGAGGTGGGTAACAAGAAGTTCATGAAAATGTGATGGAAATTAGTACCTGAGTATTAGAAGGCTCACCAATATGGGAGTCTGGTCTACGATGGCAATCTGCCCTACCATCAGCATGGTAGTGGTAGAATGCTAGAATGGATGTCAATTGTCCTAGACCCTTGTCTGGTGACATAGAGAAAATGGTTAAGAGTAGGATCTGAAGCCCAAAATCTTTTGTTCAAATCCAAGCCCTGCAATTTACTATCTGTGTGACTTCGGGCGAGTTACTCTCTGCAACTCGGTTTCCCCTTTATAATAGTACCTTTCTGAGAGTATTGTTATGAGGTTTAAATGAATTAATATTTTAATCACCCTGTTTAGAAGTGTCTAGCATATATTAAGTGCTATAGGTAAGTGTTAAATGAAATAGCATACTTTTCAGGAAGCCAATTAATTCTCTGGACTTTGGTAAAATAATAGGGTGCAATAAATGATTTCTAAGGATACTTTCAAGTCTTTAAATTCTGTGATTTCATACTTTTAGAGATGAACCCCATACCAGCCAGCCACTAAAAATAAATAAATAAATAATAGGGATGAAGATTTTGTAACCTCCCAAGTTATGCACTGAGCTTTTAACCAGACTAACTGGTTATAATAAAAGTTTTCTTGATAGCAATTATGTCAGGGTCCAATTAAGAAATCAGAAACCACACTAGAGGTTTTAATGGAGAGAAATTCCTGGTTAAATAGATATTGGAGAACTAAAAAAGCTAAAAGGAGACACCAGGGTAATGCAGAGGTAGTAACCTCAGGAAGCAGTCTCCTCTAAGGCTGGGGCATAGACGGAAGAGGAGGGGGTTGTCAGAGCCTACGGGCTTGGAAGAAGGGCCTCATGAGGCTGGGACCCAGACCTCTGAGGAGGCAGCACTGCTCAGTTGCTGCTGGCACCTCAGGAGCTTGGAGAATGCTGAGTGAAGCTGGGATTCAGACCTCTGAGGAGATGATCTCACCCAACGCTGACAGCCTTTGAAGGGACAAAATGATGCTTGTCCTAGGTGTGCAGAAACAAGAAGATGGAAGTCCCTTGTCCTTCCTCCTGCTTTCTGTCTCCCTCTGATGCCCCCACCAGGGGAACTGAACAGACATCCAGTTGGCAAGGAAAACTCTGGTTTTCCGAGTCACAGGCCCAACATCAACAGAGTCTACAAGAGGGGGTTTAGAGCTAGAAACAATAACTTAATAACTGACAAAACAGCCCCCAAAACTGCTTTCTGTTACTTCAACTCACCCGTGAATGCCAGCTCTTATCTCCAGAGTGATTCTGGGTATAATCACACTCTTCAGCTATTCAAAAATAGCTACCCCAACCTCTCTATGCTTTTCTTTTTCCAGCCTAACAGAACCTTCTATTGATTTCTCCACCGTGGGTGCCTTAGGACAGGGAGTCTTATGTGACTCATTTTTGTGCCCCTCTGGAGTCAGCATAATACCTTGATGCTTTTCTTAATGCCAGGTGCTTTCTCAGCATTGATTTAAATTGTCAGGTTGCTCTAAGTGTCAGGAAATTAGTCTTTGTATTGATCCCAAACTGGCCTTTCCCCAAAGCCCATTGTCCTATTCAATTCAGCCAGATGAACTTGGGCAAAGCAGCTCATCCACTCCAGCCTCAGTTTCTCTGGTACGATAACAGTTCAGGCATCCCCCCAATGAGAACTCTCAATCCCACACTCAAGGGAGTGGGCTGAGAGGGAAACATGGGAGGGTTTGGTAGGATGGTTCATACCCCTTGCGCCCTTTTCTCTCTCTTTGCCTATACTACCCCTTCCTCCTCAGCTCACATCAGCATTCTGGAGAGTTAGCCAGTGGAGATCCTCTGTAACAGCAGTGGGCGCGATTTCGGGAGGGAAGAAATCTTGGCAAATTACAGGGATAGAGCCTTGCCTGGTACTTTTCATAACAGAGTCAGTATGGTGCAGAGGTTAACCAAATAGGCTTTGGAGTCAGACTGCCTATGTGCAAATTTCTGCCATGTCACTTCTTTTGTGACCTTGGGCAAGTACCTTGGACTCCGCTTTATTCAACTGAAAATTATATTTAATAATGGCACTAAACTCAAGAGGGTTGTTATTCATAGCAAATAACAAATGCTCTATACATATTAGCTATTTCTGAGCACTATTTGCTTGCTCCTGTACTGTCATTTACTGCACTGTCATTTAAACCTTTACACATCTTGAGAGCTGGGTATATCATCCTCTTCTTTTATAGGTGCAAAACTGAAAATCAAGTGGCAACATAGACACAAAGGGGCACAGCCAGGGTTTTTGAACACAGGGCTAACTCCAGAATCAGGACTTGGGGTGGTACTGTCCCCTAGAGGATACTTGAGAAATTTGTGGGGAATTTTTGGTTGTTGCACTGATTGGAATGCACTGCTGGCCTTTAGTGGTAAGTAGGGGAGAGGGTGCTTGACTTTTTGTAACATGCAAGTCAGTTCTGCACATCAAAGAAATTTCCACGTCCAAAGTGACTTCTGGATATTTTCTAGATATTCATGTAGTTGAAAAAACTTTTCATAATTAACAATGTTGTACAAAAGTAATATAAAGTATTTTCTTGCAGAGTTTTAAAATATACTGAATTTTCCCAGAATACAAATATTCTGTAAAATGAGAGATTGATGTACATTAATTTAGAACTTTACTGAGATTTATTCACCGTTTCAGAAAAACATGTCTTGACAGCTATTCCAGTGATGT